AAAATCCTTTGACAAAAATTCAGCATGCCTTCATAATACAAGTACTAGAGTGAATAGGACTAAAGGGAACATACCTCAACAGAGTAAGAGATATAACTGAGAAACCCATAACCAACATCATCTTAAATGGAGAAAAACTTAAGCAATAAAATGAAATCAGGAGTGAGGTAGGGATGTCCACTATCCCCACTGCTTTACAACATTGTGTTCAAAGCACTAGATAGAGCAATAATACAAGGAAAGGAAATGGAAGGGAAGCCAACAGGAAAAGAAGATGTCAAGCTATACTTATTTGCAGATGATGTGATATTATATACAAGAGATCTAAAGAAATCTAGCAGAAAACTCAGCAAAGTGTCACAACACAAAATGAACAAATCAAAACCTTTTCTATACACCAACAACAAACATACAGAGAAGGAGATCATAGACATGCTACCATTCACAATAGTCCCCCCAAAAAGAAAATATCTAGGAATTAACTTAACCAAGGAGGAGAAAGACTTCTACAGTAAAAACTTTAAATATCTGAAGAGAGAGAAAAAGACATAAGAATACAAGAATATGGAAAGCTATTTCATGCTCATGAATTGGTGGAATTAGCATATGAAATGACCATTCTTCCAAAAGCAATTTACAGATTCAATGTAAGCTTATACAAAATCCCCATCTCACTCGTCACATAAAATAGGAACCATAAAAGACCCTGGATAGCCAAAATAATCTTGAGCAAGAAAAATGGTGGAGGGATTACCATTCAATATCTTAAAATATTCCGCAGCCCAAAACAAAACAATATGGGACTGGCACAAAACCAAACATGTACATATATTAGTTACTTTTCAATTACGAGTAAAACAACTGGCTGGCAGGCCTGGTGCCTCATCAGTAACTGAGAGCTACACTCTGATTCACAAGCAGCACACAAAGAGTGAGACTGGGCTTGGTGTGGGCTTTTGAAACCTCAAAGCCCACACCCAGCGACGTACCTCCTCCAACAAGGCCTCATTTTCCAAACCTTCCCTCAAAAGTCAACTAGGGGACTAGGCGATTCCATCGTTCTGCTCTCAGGGACCAAGCAGCTGCATAGGTCATCATCTGTCGCAGCCAGGGGAGCCCCCAGCCATCCCAGAGCTCTTTCTGTCTCCCCAACCCCTCTGTCTCCCTGTCTGCATAGTGACTTCTCTGGCCTTGTTCTCTGAGACTGGTGAACCTACCAGTGTTGTGCCAATTAAACCTGCATTTATTTATTTTTAACCCCATCTGAGGTGGCCTATATTTGTGTCATCAGTGGAGAAAAACCTGTTGCTAGGGATCAAGCATTCAACATGAGCCTCTGGGGGCCATTCTCATTCAAACATAGCAACACAGAAGGCCAAGGGCAGGGGGTAGTGGTGTGTGAGGGGGTAGTAATTTAATATTTGAAAAAGATGCCAAGAACTTACATTGGAGGAAAAAAAAACAAAAACAAAAACAAAAACAAAAACAAAACCAGCATCTTCAAAAAATGATACTGGGAAAACTGGATGCCCACATAAGAAGAATGAAATTAGACCTCTGTCTATTACCTTGCACAAAAACTAATTCTAAATGGATCAAATACCTAAACATGGAACTTGAAATACCAAAATGTCAACAACAAAACCCAAAATAAATGAAAGACAAAAGCAAATGAACAAAAACAGGGCAGTACACCACAGGATATGGGGTATAAGACTCCATTTGTCCAAGACTTGAGGCTAAAGGTTGGCAAGACAGATCTCAAACAACTAAAACGCTTTTTTTTTGTGCCGCTAAAGAAACAATCAGTCAAATTAAAAGGAATCCTCAGAATGGAAAAGACTCTTTGCCCACTATACATCTGACAGAGAATATACAAAGAAATCAGAAAGACCAAACTAAACCAAACCAAACCAAAATCCTAAAGCCTAAATTCCACCCAAACAAAACTCAAAGAGTCAAAAACAAAACAAAACAAAAAAACAAATCCATTTCTAAGAGATCTCAAGGCTAAGATAATGGCGTGGCCTTCCCATGCCTTACACTAGAGTGTTTGCCTAGGCAGAATGTTTGGGTAATGCTTGATCTTTAATAAAAAAAGCATCATGTGCAGTGGTCTCCAAACATAGTTTCCTTGCTTCAGAAGACTATATGATCACATGACTCTCTGTTGAGATCACCTCTTTAAGGTTAGGTGGCGATTTCTTTGTTTTCCCAGCATATAATAAACGTGCTGAGTGTTCGAGGGCCTGGTGTGTCTCCATCGCACACTCTTACTGGATCCTTGCTTTACAAGGCTTGTGTTTGTGTTTCTTAGTTTCCTGTCTCAACTAACATGCAAAGAAATGTGGTATATTAACACTGCAGAATACTATTCAGCTGTATAGAAAAATGAAATTATAAAATTTGCAGTTAAGTGATTGAGTGAGATTACCCAGACCCAGGAAGAAATCTCTTATCTGTGGTTTCTACTAAATCTTCAGATATGAATATATAACCTGGAGTAATTGCAGATACCAGGAAAGAAAAAAGAAACCACGGTGGGGGATGGGTGAGGAACAGTAGAGAGGGAAATAGGATACCAGCGATTTAAGAGGGAAATGGAAAAAACAGAGAGAAGGCTTTAATTAGGGAAAAGGGAGAAAAAATACAGAAGGTGGGAGAAAGACAAAATAAGAGTAAAAGTGAATTAGAGCATCCTAAGGAATCATATTATTACTATCTAGCTCAAAATTTTTAATTAAATTTTTATTTTTTATGTTAATTACTGTTTATTCACTTTGTATCCCAGCTGTAGCCCCATCCGTCCACCCCTCACAATCTCACTCTCCCTCTTTCATCTCCTCCTATGCCCAAGTCCACAGATAGGGGAGGTTCTCCTCCCCTTCCATCTGATGCCAGCTTATCCGATCTCATCCGAGCTGGCTGCATTGTCCTTCTCTGTGGCTCTAGCTCAAATTTTATATGATACATACAAGTCTTTGTTTACAGGTACATGAGTCTGAATGAAATTTTCTCATCTGAAATGAGCGTGTGAATAATAAACAATAACAACAAAACAAAAACGAACAAGCACAAACCCCACCAGTTGTGAGAATCCCAGTTTGAGTTGTCTGGCAGGGCTGTCTATGAGAACTCCCCCAAACATTAAAAGCTATTGCTATTGCCTTTGGTTGCCTCACAGAAGTTGGAGATAAGTCCCTACTGCTGAAGACACAAGGTACTTCAAACACAGGACCAGGATGATCCAAGTTTGAATGAGTCTTGGAGGAAAACCTACACTGCCACTTTTCAAAAGCAGCATAATTATTAACTGTATTCAAAATATTTATTTCAATGTCCACAGAAAAGTATAGGTTTTACCCTTCATAAAGAAACCTCTCCACATAACAGATGGATATCATTCCAGAAAATTATAATGCAGAGAGCATGTAACTTTGTGTTGCCTAACTCCAGGGGATACATATATAATACAACTTGCATATGTAAAGATCAGGGATTATAGAGCAAGAGGGTGTATAAGCTACACCCATTATATCTCAACAACATGGATTTCTAAACAAGACCTGAAGAAAGAGGTCTTCAATCAATATGCTAACAAGGAAGTGGGGGGATCTTACTGGGCTTTGACTGTGGTCAAAGATCTATAGGCAACCAAGGAATGCTAAGAGTAGGAAAAATGGTCTTCCCCAGGGAAGACACAAATATATTATTTAATACCAAGTGGTCAAGCCCTGAACTCATATACATAAGAGTAACATTATACAGACTGAACAGTTTGTATTTATATATTCTGTAACACACACATATACACACATATGCATATGTAACAACAATTAAAGAAATAAAGGTCATAAATTTGAGAGTCAGCAAGCAGAAGTACAGAAGTGTTGGACAGAAGAAAGGGATGGAGGAATATGATGTGATTATACTTTAATTTCAAAAAGAAAAGGAAAGTAAACTAAATTAAATTAGTGGGACATTAGCATATGGAAGAAATTATTTTAAGGACACAGTAATAAAGTTATCAAGTTGATCACAAAAAAAAATCCATAGATATAATAGAGGTATCAAACCGACATGATTTAAGCATACTACCAATATTGGAATCAGGCCACTACCAAACTTTGGGCAGAGTGCAGGAAATCTTAAGAAAGAAGGGGGAGATAGAAAGACCTGGAACGGACAGGAGTTCCACAAGGAGAGCAACAGAACCAAAAATCTGGGCCCAAGGGTCTTTTCTGAGAATGGATATTCCAACCAAGGACCATAAATATAACCTAGAACCCCTGTGCAGATGTAGCCCATGGTAGCTCAGTATCTAAGTGGGTAACCTAGTAAGGGGAACAGAGACTGTCTCTGACATGAACTCAGTGGCTGGTTGATTACCTCCCCCTCAGAGGGGAACAGCCTTACCAGGCTACAGAGGAAGATAATGCAGCCAGTTCTGATGAGACTTGATAGGCTAGGATGAGATAGAAGGGGAGGAGGAACTCTCCTATTAGTGGACTTGGAGAGGGGCATGGGAGGAGATGAGGGAGGGAGGGTGGGATTGGGAAGGAATGACGGAAGGGGCTACAGCTGGGATACAAAGTGAATAAACTGTAATTAATATAAAAAAAGAAATAGCAACCCACATATTGCAAATGCGTTTTAATCTATAGATTTAGTGTGCTAAGCTCAAGATTCCAAGGAATGTGAAGACCAGGGCACCTCATGTAGCTTATATAAAGTTGATCAAGATTGGAAAGAAGCAAAAACAACCACAGATGGAGAAAAGCCAGAAGGAGGAACAAGAGGATTATAGCAGATTTCTTGTAAGCAATGTAAAGAAAATGACAGCTGGGCAACATTTTCAAAGACTGGGAAATATAAACTCTGTACATGGAATACATAATAAGATAGAGGTCTATATTTTATGGATGTATAAAAATAATAAAGAGATTTTCTTGTAAGTAAAATGGACATAAGAACGAATTCATAACCTGCCAAGTACGTACCTGTAAATAATGGCCACATCCTTTAGTACACTTGTTAGTGTCGAAGTCATAATAGGCACTTTCATTATACCAACCAGAAATAACTTGACTTGGTGTAATTTTTATTCCACCTAAATATATGTTTTCTCCAACAGACTTATGCTTCTCAAGACATCCATAGTTCTTTGAAGTACAGGGATTATGAGCAAATTTGCACTGTTTAGCCCAATATTTGGCCAGTTTTGCTAATTCTTTGTCCCAAGTCTGAAAAAATAGAAAAATTTCAATTGATTAGTACATATTTACTTACAATAAAATCATTCTAATAAATGTAATAATTTAATTTTCAGTTACTTTTAGTTCTTTGGTAAAGACATCTTTTTTATTTTTTAAATTTTATTTGTAGTATTTGTTGTCTTATCTTAGCTAGTTTCTTATTACAACCAACTAACTGAAGAGAAACAACTTGAATCACCATTTAAGAGGGTTCAGGACATGATCATTTGGCACCAGGTTTCTGGGTCTATCATGAGGCAAACATCAGTAGTTTCTTCATAGTTAACTAGAAGGAATGAAAAATGAGCATAGGAAGTGGCTAGGACAGGTCCTAGGGGCCCTCCCCAACCTTGCTTCTCTAAAGACTTATGATGGATCTCTAGAAGTGCAAGAAAATAGAACAGTTGTATCACTCCAATACCAAAGGCTTCAATTCGACTTCTTGCAATAGTTTTTTGGTTGTTATTTTTTCTCTTGCTTCAACTTTTTTGTTATAATGACTACTTTTCTACCTAGATGTCTAGTTTTTGATCGACTTGATACAAGCTAGAGTTAGCCAATGAGAAGAACCTCAAATGATGAAATGCATCCATCAGATGGCCTGTAGCAAGTTTGTAGGACGTTTTCTGGATTAATGCTCTGAGTTAAGCTCACAAAGAATTCTAAGGTAAAATAAATCCTTTATTCCCTAAGTTGGTGATGGTATTTATCAAGGCAATCAAATAGAGACACCAGACATCACCATGTGCTTACTCCTCAAAGGTTTTCTTCCTATGTGGAATTCATGCCTATTACTATCTCCTGGCTAGTTAGACTGACACCTTTTATCTCTGCCTTCGTTGCTCTTTATATCTGCATTGCCCCTATCAATAACCCCTTCTCACTAACCTTTTCTCATGGTCTCTTGCTCTAAGAGAGCTCTTCAACTGATGTTACTCTAAATCAAAACCAGCAATAGAACTAGACCAAATTTCAGTGGTCCTTGATACCCTTTCAAAGGTTAATTACCTTTGCTTCTCTGCTACTCCCAAATTGCTGTGTTTTAAACACTGGGTTCCTGCCTGGTTCTGAGACAGAAATTCTGTATCTATGCAGATTAATAAGGGAATCATTTGGATGGAGCTAAAAGACAAAAAAAAAAAAAAAAAAAAAAAAAAAAAAAAAAAAAAAAAAAAAAAAGAAGAAGAAGAACAGGCAACTGACTTAAGAACCTTTAGGTTTGACCTCTGGAGAAGGACACCTGGTGTTGCCTTTTCTAGTTCCACTCATCACCATAATTATCCTTTCTGCCATTGCTTCCTTATCCTTCCTTATGCCTTCTGGAATGTGCATCATATTCAGACAGCCATCAGATTTGCTTTTGGGCATACCTATGGGAGTATTTTCTTGGTAGTAGTTAATGCAGGAGGGCCTTGACTTCTGTGGGTGGTTACCTTCCCTCAGAAATTGAGCTCCAGATGTATAAAAAAGGTAGGTGAGCAGGCCAGGAAGTAAGCAACTCCTCCTCCCCAGAAAGCAGCATTCCTTCATGGGCTCTGTTTCAGTTCCTGCTTCCAGACTCCCACTTTGAATTTCTGCCTTGGCTTCCCTCACACCAATCACTGTAGTAAACCTTTTACTCCCCTAAGTTGTATTTGGTCAGCGTTTTATCACAACAGAGATGCAAAGTAAAACATAGGGTGATTGGTATGTTCCAGGGTACAGGCCGTTAAGCTCCAGATGATTCTGTCTCAGGGATGCCAACCACTGTCATCAACTGCCCCCTACCTCAAAGTGATGTCACATTCACGCCTTCAGCTTCCTGTGATAATTGTTCTCTAAGATGTGTCCCAAGCCTTTCGAGTGAGTCCTAAATAGTAAAGCCTATGACAGATCATTAACAACTATCAGAAAGGACACTTCCCGAGAGCAGAAGCAATTCCTGGAGAATAACAGATCTCGTCTCAGTGATCTGAGTAGAGAAGATGGACAAACCAGAGTGCCAAAATTAAAACAATGCTTCCACTCCCTGACAGTCAGACCATGAGCGCTTCGAGGCTCACCAATATTCTGCAAAGTTTTGTACAAACATTTAGAGCTTGATTCCTAATAACCTATGATTCTTACCCCAACTGGCCCATCTCAGGAAGGACGGATGGAGGGGAAATGTACCATTTTTTTCTAAAACAGCAAGGTCCCTACTTCTTCTTACCTATCCCGATATACCATGATTTATTTTCATATGCCAAGCGCAATGTCCTAGGAGGTAAGAGCAATAAACTTTCTCTTCACTGTTATAAAAGGATTCAGGGCGATTCTTCCTTTTCCTCTAAGAATTCGTCTGCTAAAATTTTAGAACAAATTCTGGTCTGGTAAATCATGTTACATCTCCCTCTCCTGCCTAAAGTCATTGTTCTGTATAGCACCCCTCTTTCTTTCTCACCAGGTAATTCATATTGGCTGCTGGAGGGTTGACCTGGCTTCGCATTTTATTATGGTGGTCAATGCATTCTTGTTTAAACTTCGGGTTATCAATACTCGGCAGGGTGGGAATATCTGCCTTGGAAAGGTTGTTGAAAAGCAAACATAGACCCAATGTCCAGAAACAAGTATGTTTCCTCTTCAGGGCCATGGAAGGATGCGGAGGAAACCTTTGGTGAATATGCCTGAAGAGGAACTACTCTGACGATGCTGGCTCTGCCTTACTAGGCTGGCTTATGCTTACTGCCTTTCGAAGTCAGTGTTGCCATGGAGACGTAAGCTTGTAGAGTTCCGAGATCTAAAGTTTTAGATTCTCTGGAAAGCCTGAGGCGCCCTCTGGTGAACAGTTCTAACCATCCAACTTGCTTTCAGAAGAGCTGAACCACAATCAATGCACAGAGTGCCTGGATTGTGAAAAGGAATTCTGCGGGTGCTGACAATGTGTCGTCGGGCCTAGCTAACAAAATACCGGGAGTTTGCTGAAGATATTGGAGCAAAATGTTTAATCACTGCACTCAGGAGACAGAGGCGGAAGCAGCAGATCTCTTTGTGAATTTGAGGGAGTTCCAGGCTAGGCAGAAGTGGAGATCCTAGTGGGGAGGGAGGAGGAGAAAAAAAAAAAAGGCAAATGATTTATGAGTTTCATAGACTCTATTTTCATGCTTAGCATTTAAAAAATTATTTAAAATAAGTTGCATATTATTTTGTCCCATTCTTCAGATATTGGAAATATAGAATAGGGAACTGATGGAGTCTGTGGTATCCTGAAGCCTTCAGTTATTACCTGGTCAAACATGTAGGATTTTGCTTCTATTTCCTTCTCAGTGACTGCCTGGAAAAGGTGAAAATGCTGTGGGCATGTGGAAAATTAGAGCCAAATAGTTTCTCCTGGTTAAAAAAAAAATACTTTCTGATAGTTTAGAGCCTCCATATTATATGATGACTAGCGGATTCTAGACCATTTGTATCCTAGAGAGTAGGAACAGAAAATATGCTGATTGCTCAAATGAAGTTATGAGTCAACTTTGTCTTAATGCTTTCACACTTTGTCAGTTACTGTTAGTCAGCAATAAACCAGAAAGTTTCCGAAACATCTAATGATATTTTTCAGCATTTCTTGGTGAATATCTTTAAAACTCAGGTTGTTTAATATTTAGGCTATTTATAGTGCCATTTAATTCAAGCAAATACATGTTTACATGTACCAAATGTTCTGTCCTAGCCAGTTAAAACCACCACCAAAATAAATAACCAACAACTTATTTTAATGAAACTCGTTGCCTTTTTAAAATCAGAAAGTAGAAATTAAGTTATAGGATGAAGTCAGGTGCCATGGCACAAGGCTTTAATTTCAGCGCTCAGGGAAGGAGAAGCAGGCAGATCTCTATGAGTTCGAGCCCAGATTGGTCTACAAAGTGAGTCCAGGACAGCCAGGGCTACACAGAGAAACCCTATCTTAAAAAAAAAAGTTATTATAAAATAAAAACAAAAGCACACAGCCAGCAATAACAATTTCTATGGCACTGGAGAGGACATGTTTCTCATTTATTATAGTCTGACGTGGGCTTGCTGTATGCACTGCTGATATGTCACATAGGCAAACTGAGTTTCTTGCATCCCACACTCCAATACAAACATAGGTATGCATGTTCTTACATGCTCAGGCAGATTACAGGTACTTATGTAACTGACTATGGCGATACACTGATCTCATTTGTGTTTACTTTCTTGGTTCAGTGGTGTTTGTCCCTTTGGCAAGGACACTCCTGGCCTAGGCGCTTTGTACTTGCTGCTTTGCAGTATCCTCTTTCAAATCTTCCCTGATCTTCCTTTAGTTCTTACAAGAGGGTGCCCCCCTTTTTTTCATTGAATCAATTACTAATTGAAATTGCATCTGTTTCTGTAGTGTCTGCCTACCAGACTGTGCACTTCACATAAACAGTGGCTTCACTGATTTTTCTCTGGAACCCAAAACAAACACTTTATGCCTCCAGTAAAAGTTTGTTGACTGAATAAAGAAACAAGCATGGTATTATTATGTTGTATTGGTTTTAACCTTCTTGACCACAGAAACTTTGTCTTATTTGCCTTTTGTAGGGCACAATAAATAGTTTTTTTATTCCATGATTTAAGAGACAATCATACATAGGCTTATGTATGTATGTATGTATGTATGTATGTATGTATGTATGTATCTTACTTCTTCTAATCTTTGGTACATTAGCAGACTGTTCAGTATAGGTTGAATACATGGAAGACTGTATGCAAATAAATATTGAAAGTAAAGCATGAACTTCGAATGAAAATTTTGTAGTACATAGAGATGGTTCAAAGGGTAAGACTCCATACATGTTCTGCAGGCATGAGGACCTGAGTTTGAATACCCAGCTCCCACATAAAAATACACACATAGATATGTGTGCCTATAACCCCAGCATTGGAATTGAGGAGCAAGGCAGAGAAATCCTGATAAGTTTTGTCCTTGGTTTTGCTTTTCTGACCGGGTCTCATGTAGCTCAGGTTATGATGTGCACATTTAGACATTAATGTTAATTTTCAAAAGATATCGCAAAAAAAAAAAAAAACCAAAAACCCTGTTATATAACATTTGCATATTTGACATTACATTTGTGAAGATGCCACCTGTTGCTACAGGAGTAGAGTTTTACAACTACCCCAAGCTAGCTTTGCCCCTTAATAGTCACGGGTCATGGCCCAAAGATGTTTCAGACATAGCTAAGATTTTGGTGGGAAAATTGGTGGTAGGCTGGGATACAGGATGATTTTATGTTGTTTTCTTCTCTAATATTAAACTGGACTCCATATATGGTAGTCGCTCTGTGAAATAATGTTTAAAGGAATTCCAGTAAATGAATGATCCACCCAAGGCTGTGGTCCTTGCCGGGCTTTGGCACTCTCCTGGTGCAGGAGGGGCCTGCTGTGAGCTAGTTCTCTCCAGTGTTTCAAGTCTGGGCCAGGGTTTAGAGGTGGGCCCTCTGGCCTGGGAGGCTGCTGGTAAAGCAGAAACCCCTTAGATTTAAGAGTGATTTTGTCTGCAAGCAGACTTCGAAACCTGCGGGGTGTAAGGATGGCAGGCACAACTTGCGGGGTGAAGGTGTCCAGGAGAGAACTAAGGGAGTGGTGTTGAAGTCCCTTTTATTCTAGGGAAGTTGGAAAGGCTGGCAGGACGCTTGGAGAACGAGCTCCGGTTGCCTAGCAACCCAAGACGCTGCTTGAAACTGTCGTGTTGGCGAGGAAAGGCCCCTTGAGAAGCCGATGGGAAGCTCTCAGAAAGAAGTTTTTGGTGGAATCGCCGGGGTTTCTGTCATTTCCACCTCTTCTATTCCTGGTTTGGGTTGTACGGTGGATTCCTGTTGGAGCACTGCGAGTACTGTGAAGTAAGATTTTAACTGAAGTAGGAACGACTTTGTATTCAGTTGCATCTGTTGTCAACAAGGATTTAAGGCAGTCTTGGTCCCTGTTTCTTATGGAATTTAAGTATTGAACTGTATTTATTAATCTTTCCGCACTCCTTTCCTTATGAACTAGATTAGATCCCTTTATCCTTTCGTTGTGTGCTGGCTTTGTATCAACAAGTTACAACTCACTGATTCACTAACTAGGGGAGAAACAATAACATCTGGAGTTGGACCGACAAACGAGAGGGAGAGAAGAGGGAGAAAACAGGGAACAGGCCAGGAGCCTACCACAGAGGGCCTCTGAAAGTCTCTACCCAGCAGGGTATCAAAACATATGCTAAGACTCATAGCCAAACTTTGGGCAGAGTGCAGGGAATGTTATGAAAGAAGGGGGAGATAGAGAGATCCGGAGGGGACAGGAGCTCCACAAGGAGAGCAACAGAACCAAGAAATCTAGGCCCAGAGGTCTTTTCTGAGACTGATACTCCACCTGTGGACCATGCATGGAGAGAACCTAGACCCCTGCACAGATGTAGACCATGGCAGCTCAGTCTCCAAGAGGGTTCCACAAAAATAGGAACAGGGACTGTCTCTGGTATGAACTCATAGGCTGGCTCTTTGATCACCTTTCCGAGGAGGGAGCATCCTTACCAGTCCACAGAGGAAGACAATGCAGCCAGTCCTGATGAGACCTGATAGACCAGGGTCAGGTAGAAGGAGAGGAGGATCTCCCCTATCACTTGACTGGGCTAGGGGTATAGGAGAACAAGAGGGAGGGAAGGTGGGATTGGGAGGGAGTGGAGGAGGAGGCTACAGCTGGGATACAAAGTGAATAGACTGTAATTAATATAAAAAATAAAAATTAAAAAAAGAAAAAAGAAAACAAACAAAAAAAGAAACAAGGAAGAGATGAAGCGATGACTCAGTGGTTAACATCACTGAAGACATTAGTCAACAACAGTAACGATTGCTACTACTGTTAGCTAGCAATAGCACTCCATACTGGCAATGGCTGGATGGGCCAGGGTCTGTTCAGACTCGCTATTTCCCCTCTTGCTATGTCTCACTTGCTTTTTCAAGTTCTGTACTTTAGCACGAGTGCAGTCCTTAGCATTCAATCTAAAGCTCTGCTTTCAGCCATGTGTGTAAAATCATGAAACTTAGGTTTTAAGAGTCCTTCAGTCCTCATAGCAAATTACCTCCTGAGGCCTCTGTTTTCCGTACCAGCAAGAGTAGACTACTGGAGAGAGATTTAGAGCCATGTATGAGTTAAGGCCCTGCAATAAGTGTCACAGTTAAGCAAAGTGAAATTCATGCTTCCAGGTCTCAGCTTGCTCAGTGAAAAATCAGAAGCTTGGGCCATTTTAGCTTTTGCAGCCCTGTCCAAATCATTAGATCCTCTAATTGGGGTGCTGGGAGGCAATTGCTAGTCCTGTAGACTCCAATGTGCCCCTTCTAAAAATATTTCCCTTTCCAGAATTCTTATTTGCAAAGTGAATGGCTCACTTTTGTGCCGTGTAAGTCTGCATTAACTCATACCTAATTGACTGAACTCTCTCATTTTCTGGGCTTTCTGCTAAGCCCTGAGGTAATAAGTGAGCAGCATCAGGAGCTATCTCTTTCATGAGTGTATAGTTTTACTGAAGAATATTTGGTGCTATCTGGCGCTGCAAACATCTTAGCCAATTGTTTCCTGAAGGACTTATATGTTGGCTTTCTGATGAATCTAACATGGGTGTAATCCAAGTGTGTATGGACATTTGTGATGCATTAATTTGTCTATTGACTAAATAAGTATTTCTTAAGAATCTGCAGTAAACAGCAGCCTTTGTGGTTGTGATAGTACGTTAGAAATGCAGAGAGTTAGTTACACTGGGAAAGTACAAGGAATGGCAGGAGCAGAATATTCTGGAGTTTCTATTTGCTGTTCTTATTAATTGTAGACAAAGTCTGGTGATTTCAAATGTTTTACAGTTATTTGGAATTGCTCCAACAGTTACTAAGGGATGAAGTCAGGAGGCTGATAATGTGAGTGAGAAAGCCGTATGGTTGGCTGCTCAACATCTTTGTCTTACCTTTGAATTGTGTTTTAGTTATTGCTCTATGACTGTGAAGAGACATCATGACCAAGGCAACTTATACAGAAAGCATTTGACTGGGGCTTGCTTTCAGTTTCAGAGGGTGTGTTTATGGCCATTGTGGCAGGGGGCAGGGCAGCAGGCAAGCAGACAGGGCACTGGAGCAGCCACTGAGTGCTTACATCAGACTGGGCCTTTGAAACCTCAGATCCCATCCGCACTGGCACACCTCCTCCAACAAGGCCACACCTCCTAATCCTTCCTAAAACAATTCCACCAACGGGGGCCCAAACATTCAGATAGACAAGCCTATGGAAACAGTTCTAATTCAAACCATCACAGGTGTCAGTTAGAAGTCGTCATGGCAAAATCAGTAACTTGTTCTGCTCTTGAGCCCATGGCCTTGGATGTGTTAGGCAAGTGCCATTCCGCTGGGCTATAGGCAACCTATCCTACAAATGTCATAGCTTTTGTGATGTGACCAAATAATGCATAATAGGTTTAGAACATAAAAAATTCTTTTTCTGAAAGGACGTCGAAAAGGGAGCCATATGAAGCTTTATGTTATTGTGTTATTATGTTCAAATCTGGTGATTTGTGCTGCTTTCAGACTGTGTTTACTTTGGGTAGCTAAATATTCTTGAATATGCTATTAAAGTGGGATTCCTGGCTCAAGGTGAGGGATTTTTAGAGAAGAATGATCTGGGGTGGGCATGGGAGGAAGAAAAAAATGCTAAACTGCAAGGGAATTGGGGTTAGATTACACTAGGTAGGAAGTAAGATAGCTGCCATCTACGAGATGTTACCTCATTCCACCAGGATGAGAAAAAGGTGCTAATATTCCATTTATTTTATACATTATGAACACCAACTCAGAGAGATTACATTCCAAAAATCAGAATTTTAACATTAGTTTATCTAACAGAAGCTGGCACTGACATCCTATCCTGAAAACAACAAATAAACAAAAAATAAATAGTACAAATGTCACCAGGATAGAAAACACATTCACAGTTCTAGCCTTGTGGGCAGAAAGCAGGTATAGCATTGAAGATAGAACCTGTGTGCCTACATTCCAGAATCCCTGTAGTGAGTGTCTGTGAGCACAGAGACCTCTGTTTCCCCTACATTTTAAGAAAAGCTATATCCATGGTAATATAAATATGAAGTCAAAATAAAAGTGCATAAAACTTTGAGGACAGAGTCACTTGATTTAACAAGCAATGTTCTTTACACCATTACATAATTACTAATTATACTGTTTGGTAGATTTTTTTTTTTTTCAAGACAAGGTTTCTCTTTGTAGCTATGGCTGTCCTGGAACTTACTCTGTAGACCCTTGAACTCAGGGATTCACCTGCCACTGCTTCCAGAGTGCTGTTGTTAAAGGCATACTCCACCACCACTCAATTTAGAAATATTTTCATTAGTCTATTGTGACAGTATCAAAATCCACCCTGGCTTGAGAACTGAGTATAAATAAGACTAGCTCGTGTGAAAAAGAAGACAGGTTGACTATCATTAGTCTCCTAATTTATTGTAAAGCCTCTGTATAGACTGAGTGACTTGAAATAATACAATTGTCTCATGATTTCAGAGGTCAGTGCATAAATTTTGCGTGGAATTGCTAAAAACCAACTGCCAGCAGGACTGGTTCTTTTTGGAGGTCCCAGGGGAAAGAGTCATTTCATGTGTCTTGTGCATCTTGGAAACTGTTCACCATCTTGTCCATCTTTGGTGGCAGTTGCATAGCATCTGTGTTCCTCTCAGACTTGTGATTCCATCTTCCCACCTTCTCTATCTGATCTAGATCCTCCTGCCTCTCTCTTCTAAGGACTTCTTCTAAGTATTGAATGAGCCCAACAGATTAACTCTCCCATTTCAAAATTTTAATCTAATTCCACCTGAAATATCCCCTTTGCCATGAAAGAGACATATCCACAGTGCCTAGACATTAAGACATAGGTCTTTTGGGATATACATTATACATTATGCATTTGCATTACTAAAACTCGATTTTAGTTTATAAAGTCAGTAATGGTTTATTATTAGCCATAGCCATTAAACACAATGACTTCTTTCTAGGAAAACTACTGTGTGTGGGTTACTTAAAATTACAGTAAGAATGACCATTTTGCATTATTTTATCTTCTTAAAAGCAAGGCATATTGCATGGGAAATACATACATTTGAATGGATTTAGAGGTCAGAGGAGTGGCTGCTTCTGGGAGCCAAACTCGGCTATTTTCTCAGCGAAAGAATTCAATACAAGTAAGTATGCCCTTGAATTTTCCTCTTATAGAATGATGTCTTCAGTTGCTTCCAGCGCCCTTTACTACTGTTTTTTATGTTTACAGTCTCAAATATTTCGGGTCAACATTTCTTAGATTTGAAAGTGTGAGCTGCCAAGATTGAAGGCAATCATTATTTTAAAATTTGCTGTTGATTGATTTGGTAATAATTTTAAGCTTATTGCTTTTTCATTGTTATTTAAAAATTAACAATGTATTTACAGAAAATATAAGAGAAAGAAGAAAATATAAAGGAAGAAGAAAATATCACTTTCTTTACAATGTTGCCCCTATAACATGCTAGGAATTTATGTTTAATTGGTACATCATTGTAAACTGCATATTTAATCACTTCATCTGTAAGCATTTTACATATTAAAAGCTTTAAAAAAGTGTTCATATAAGATATGGTATAGTTTATATACAAAGGAAGATTTAAAAGATCATAAACTAAACTTTCTCTAAATTGTATACTATTTATTTAAAATGAATTTCCGGTGACCAAACACTTTGAGTTTTATTTATTTTGTACTCAAAACCTGCTTAATGTAATGCCAGTTACTAACATTACCCAACAATAAATGAAATGAAGACTTACCTCAGGAAACCTCTAGTCTCAGTGATAGTCATATTCCAACATTGTGAAATTCAATTAAGAATAAATATTTAATGGAGAACCATACATGCTTAAAGCAGAGAAGATGGTAAAATGTAGGTGGAAACAGAAGGTTTCAACAAAAATGACATCTTCGCTCCCTGAGTGTTGAGGATTCTGAAAGGCAAAGGATGAAGAGATGATGGACACTAGTGATTGCTCCAGCCTCAGGCCAGAGCTATGGATGATTTGGCATTTACCAACTTGCTATTTTTGTATTGAAATGCAAAAATGTTTCCAGAGCAAACTTACGTTTTTATTTTAGTTATGTAGGAAGGGCATCTGGGTTTGTATTGTGAAGAACGTCCTTCTCAAACCTCAAGACACAATTGCTTTCTAGCAATGGAATAACTATATGCAGTTTCTCTCTTTGCCTGGTATTTTACCGTGATAAATATATTTAGAATTTCGTACATGAACATTGTATTTATATTCATTTATATTTAGTTTTATGAATATTTATATTCATTTTCTATTCCCCCACTCTCCCCCAACTCCTCCTAAGCACTCCAAACTCCCTCTCACATGGCCTGTTACTCTTTAGTTACTAAAAGAATATAATTTATTAATACAGCCTGCTGAGTCTCTTTAATGTTGTTCATGTGTATTTAGGGCTGACTACTTGGGACTGGTTACTTCGTCAGGGGCTTGTCCTTGAAGAAGATCTCTCTGTCTCTGTTTCTCTCTCTCTGCAGTCATGAATTGCCTGTAGCCCTTCATGTAGGGGTGGGGCCTTGTAAGATTCCCTCCATCCACAGGGGATGTCAATTGATGCTGTTTTTCAGGTCTTGTTAAAACGAGCACGCTGTTGAGATTTCATGGGCCCAGGTTCTGTCATGTGTATATTTTACAGGAAGCATCCCAGTCCTCTGTTAGTCCTCCTACCTGCTCTACCCTTGTTATTGTTTGTTGGAATATCTTCCCAGCTGGCAGAGAACTAGGAAGGTGATGGTTATCTGTCTCAGTTGTCATTTTCTCTGTCATAATCACAATGAGGAGGGGCTTGGGAGGTACACTTTCTTTGGAGTTTACTCAGAAAAAAATCTAATTGCCTTTTTTCATCTAGTCATGATTATCCTTTAATGGATAAGGCACACTGATTCTTTTTTTTTTTTTTAATTAAAGAAAAAATGGACCTCCAGACCATGGATGATCCAGAACTCCTGCCTACCTATGTAAGCTACATTTCTTCACATATTTACTGCTAAACAGGCAAACATTTACATTACCTTGATTAATCAAAAAACTATATGTATGTATGTCATATATACATACACATATATACTTTTATTAGTTAAAACTATATATATATGTATATGTACACATATATGTGTATGTATGTTGTTTTGATTGTGAACTGCAGAAAAACATGTATAAATAAAGCCTCAATATTATTGTGACAGAATCCTATCTTCTGATAGGATAGCGGAATACTGATAATGTTCTATTGTTCTTATTTTATTTAATGCTATTCTCACATTTTCCTGAAAAAGATGAATTCTTTCTTTTTTCGAGTTGGATATGCTTGTTTATTTTTACATAAGAATTAAATCTCAGCTGAATATCTGATGCTGCAGGATTCAGAACATCATCAGTATTGTTCAGAAGTGGCTGATAATTTGATCATGTATATGCTGTTGTATATATTTGATCACATATATATCATTTATACACACACACAGACACACACATATATATATATAATATCAGTTCCAAAAAGGCCATATTACATAAATATGTAGAATAAGGCAGCTGTAGTATGATTAGGGCCATCTCAGAAAGTGCCAGAAATTCTGTCATAATTCCCAGCTTAAGCTCATTGTTAAGCTCATTGCTGAAACTTGTCAGCAATTGAAACCATAGTTTCTAAAATCAAACATTCTAACACAATGCAGTCTAAAGGTATTTTTATTATACTGACTTGAGAAATGACAGTTGGAAACTATTTGAAGTTTTTGTTCTAAATCAAACCATTATGTTTCTATAAGAACAGAAATTTGTATATGTAGTAAAAGCATTGCATTCCTTTTTTTCCCTCTATTTTAAATTTAAATTTTCTTTTTATTTATATTTATTACAATTTATTCACTTTGTATCCAGCTGTAGCACCCTCCCTCATCTCTTCCCATGCCCCTCCCCTAGTCCACTGATAGGGGAGGTCCTCCTCCCCTCCCTCTGACCCTAGCCTATCAGGTTTCATCAGGACTGGCTGGAATGTCTTCCTCTGTGGCCTGGCAAGTCTTTGTCCTTTTAAGATTCAAGTTTACTTTAAAATGATACATAACATCACAAATCATATAAATTTAGAAATTCTTTAGGGTATTTTGATACATGTATAAATCAGGATAAGCATGCCTACTTTATCCGCATATATTAAAGAAATGTAAGACATATTTCATTTTGTGATTGGCATAGTAAAAGTTATCTAACAGAAAATACATATGTATTTTAAACTGTTATGTTGAAGAATATGAGAATGTAATTATTTTTTATATTTATATATTTTATATTATTAAAGTTTTCTTTTTCATTTAGAATATATCTTACATGTTACAATTTCAAATATTTGAAAAGTATAAAATAGTTGAAAATGTATTCTTCATATAATTTAGATTACAAGACCTCTTTGACATAGAAAGTAAAAGTAATAATTTGCGAAGCTGTACCACACCACACTGATACTTTCTGGATACTAAAAATAAACAAAGTCAGTAATTTCATCTGTTTCTACATGATAGATACCTATATCTTCAGGTATACATAGAGCCTAAGTTATGTTTAAGTAAAAAGCTATACGTAAATACTGAACACAGAATAGGAGATTATAGCAAGAGGTGAGTCAAGGAGATTAGCAAGGGGTGTTTCAGTTGTATGCTAAAATAAGTTTTCCAATTGATGTGAAAATTTATTATTTACCATACATTTTTATTTGCTCATTATAAAAATTAAATGTATGTTAAGTTATAAATAAATTATAAATTAAATTATACTAGCAAGAAATTTATGCAACTAATAAAATATTTAAATTATTACAAGGTTTACTTAGTCAATTTGTACCCATAGAATGCTTTGCTTGTTTTTCTCTGAATATCTATACTCAGCCTATAGCTGTAGTGATAAACTAGTTGGTTGATATTGTTACTTGCTATAAAATATTATGAGCGGTCTCTTGGTGAAACCAAATTTGAATGCTTAAAATAATATTGTTGACTATTCTCCTGTGCTATCCACTACTTGACAACTCCATATATGGTATATTTAAGTTTTATTTGAATTATTAATACCTCTCCCTCCACTTTTTAAATCTCAGAAGTCAACAAAACAGCAAATCAAATCTTGGGTCATAGTATATGCTGGTTTCCTTGTAAACAATCCAACACTGGCTGATTTCAAGAGAACGGAGTTGGAAAGAGACGTGCAGTTACAATATGATATAGGCACAGGTCTCATTAAGCTTCCACCCGCTCAGCTCAGCAGCGCACAGGGTACCATAAAGCCTGTGCGATAGCAGAGCAGGAGAATCATTGAGATGACGGGCTTTGCGTGCCTACTGCCTTTGCTTTTCTCTCATCTGTCTGTGTATGTGCGGGGTGTTCATCTATGCATCAGGGGATCATACCTCATCCTCCTGAGCACTGACGACAAGCAGCTGCCACTCCTACACAGCTTTCATGTGGGTTCAGGGGATCTGCACTACAGTTCTGTCCAGCAAATGCCCTGTTCATTGAGGCACCTTCTTATTCTCACCTTTCTGAGAAGATAATACTCTGAATAGAATTGATTTAATTATAAATTTGTACCATTTTATTATTATGCCATCATATTTATTATTATCATATTTAATTATTATCATCATTTTGTTAATAGTAACTGTATATAATATCCAACATGGAAAGTTACTGAATATTTATCAAAAATGTCAACACTTCTTGCTATCCCGTGGCAGCCAACATACCGTCAGCTTAACTGGGAATTTATATAGATACTGTATTTGATAATGATTTTTCTGTTATCACAGACTCACTTAGAATTTTATGAGCTGCATAGATTATTTCTTTTAGGGTTCCACCACTTGATCTTGGAAGCCTTGTTGACTCTGATGAGGAGGTAATTTTAAGTTTATATCTATTTACAAATATTTTCCTGCAGCAGCACCTATGAGCACGTCCTAACTACCATCCCATTTCATTCTTCAGGACAATTTTTCACAAGCACCGCATGGCAAAGTGCACGATCATCCCAACCCACCAAAGTTACGTTCTACCCTGGGCTGGGTGATGCCGTGCCAAAGACCATCCACTCAGCATCAACTAAATGAAGTGGTCAGTATGTATTTCAGTGTGACATACATGTACATACAATGTACGTACACATCATTAGAGCTGTTCTTGGCTTAAATCTTTTTGCTGATTGTTCTGTGCTCTGCTCAGTTTACATAGGCTGCATAGAAAAATTCCCAACAATGGTCCTCATGAAATACTTTTATAATTTTTCAGCCCTGAAATGACATTTTAAATACTTCCTATAAAGTTGGCAAATTACAGGTGTATCTAAGCATGATTTCCAGGAATTAAAAAAAATGTAAACTGTGAGATCATATTACATTATCTGAATGATAGTAGATTGGACTTCTTAGAAATTAGTTCAGACTTTAAGCTCCTAGACTACTATGGAGAAGGAACTAATTAATTAAACTCAACAACAACAACAACAACAACAACAACAATATTAACGAATACCTCAATCTGCGTGTTACAACATCTATTATCCTAAATTTGGCTCAGCCTTCTTTTCTGTTATACTTGGACCTCCTCAGAACTCTCCAGAAGTCGGGCTGGTATTTATATTTCCTTTTTGCAGTTTCTATGTCTATCTAAGTGAGAACAAAATGTTCACTGACTATTATCTCTTGCTACCATAGAAATATGACAAGGAAGCACAAAATACTAGGGAGTAAAATACAGTGTTCGTCTGGAAAGGGTAACCAGGGCTTCTCTGTGAGATTAATCTCCAATTCTCATAACTATTTTGGTTGAAAAAAAAACATATATTAAATATTTAATTGATAAGCTAGGGTCAGATGGAAGGGGAGGAGGACCTCACCTATCAGTGGACTTAGAGAGGGGCAGGGAGGAGATGGGGAAGGAAGGGTGAGATTGGGAGGGAATGAGGAAGGGGGCTACAGCTGGGATACAAAATAAACAAACTGTAATTAATATAAAAAATAAAAATTAAAAAAATCTTTGATTTTAATTCTTTTACGTCACTTTAGTATCAGAACCTTAGCAGTGAAATGAGTCAAGGATTACTGAGACCAAATGCTCATTCTCATCAATTTTTTTTAAAAATTTGTCATTACACACACACACACACACACACACACACACACACACACACACACACACACACACA